ACCGATCAACCCTGGAGATCAACGTAATTCTTTAAAAAATGTAGAAACTCCTTAGCCATCAGCAGTTAATATATGTCATCAGAAAGCTAATGATGCACAAATTCTCTCTCAAAATACTATAAATGCTTAAAATTCTGTGTTTCATAATAAAAATGATGATCAGTCACTATCACTACAAGATCTTCAAGAAACTAACCGAATATTTCTAGAAAAGTATATACGGTCCTCATAAAATACTTTCAGTCACTCAAAATTGAGTTTCTACATTTCTGAAACATTTACTCAAATGTTTTAATAGAATAAAATTCAAATATGAACTCACACTCTCTCGCACTCTTGCCTAGAGGATAACAAGCGTTCCTTTCATCCACTCAGCAATAATATAGAAAAATCAGCATCGAAAGTGTCTGTATTTCTTTCATGAATCAACAATTTTCGGCAAAAATCAACTTTGGTGCTGATATCACATTGAATAATCTATCCATGAATAATATTCAGCATTGTCTTGTTTCAAATAAATTATTCAGAACTTCTGCATATCATTTGTTGTTTTATTTTTGTTGTTCTGAACAAGTTGGATATATTATTAATTTTGATTCAATCATGTTAAGTATGATCTTCATCATACAACACCTGTTTAATGAAATTATTAACATACAGCTTATTTTTGTCATCAATGCATTTAATTTTATTTACCTTCTCTTCTAGTTCTTCATCAAGAGTGAGTTTCTCACGAATCAATGCATTATTTTTGGCGTCAATTGATTTAACTGCTCAAGCCGTTTCTAATTGATCTTCAAGCGATACTTTTTGTTGTTTTTTTCCAGAGGTTTTCGATTTGAGGACTCCAGTTCCTTGATCTTTTGTCTCTTCATTTCAAAATCATTATTTTTTCTTGATATCTTTTCATAAAAACGTCTAGTTCCTTAATTTTCTTTCTTCAATTCTTCAATTCCCTGAGTGTTGTAGATGATTCTTTCAAATTGACAACTTCTGTTCAAAAATCTTCTGCTTTATTTTTCTCATCTCCTAATTTATGTTACAATTGCTTTTCACCTGCTTTTAATACATCCATCTAAATTGGAAAATTTGAGGAATTAGTCAAGGAAGCCATTAAAAAGACCAAGCAAATAACGAAGCTAGTGAATCAGAGGTTGACAAAGAAAATTCCGCCTGCAAAATTGCAAAAAATGAAATAACAGAAAATGCTTTAAAATTAAAAGAGCTATATGTTGCTGAAATTCGATGATTAATCTAAAGATGATAAAATTTTTCTGCTCAATTTAATAATAATTGTACATGCATGTGCAAGTTTTCTTTAGCTCTGCAGAAAAGTCAAAAAATAAACGAAGCAAATGATGTTCAAAAGAAAGAACAAAGTTTTAAAGGAAGCAAAAAAATGAAGATTGGTGCAGAAACATTAAGCTCAAATTCGCATTAATCAAGGATTTTTTAAAATCGCGGAATTAGAATTAAAGTCTTTGACTGAAGAATTTTTTTTGCCTTACGTAGTAAGTGAACGCATCTAGAGGTCCATCTAGAAGAAGAGGAAGGAGACTATTAATAACATTAAATAAAATGGAAATTTTTTCGAAAGAAATGATTAAAAAATGGTTAAAGAATTGGTTACGGACAAAGATGAAAAGGTAATAAGAGCAACTGCAGAAACAATTCTATTTAAAGTCACTGAGCAAGAATGTTTTAGCAATGAAAATAGAAAACTGAGCAAGAGACAATGTCTTGAAACAAATCATAAACTAGCTTAATTCCTTTTTTTCGTGGAAGTCCTAAACGACTATAAATTTTAATTTCTTTTTTTGGCTCTTAGTAATTGGATAAATCTTAAAGGCACATCCAAAAGATTAATAAATGACGATCAAAATAATTACATTGAAGTCAGAAATCTCTTTATGCTTTATCATGAAAAATGGAACTTCTAAGAAATTAAATGGAAATTTAAGCCAGCAAAAGCTTCTCACGAGTGGCTTAGTTAAAAATACATAAAGTCAATTTCAAGACAATTTAAATCAAAAACTGTCAGTTCAAAATGATCACGTTCTAATGCTCAGATCCAATTTCCAATCTACTTGTTTTTTTTTCCATTTAACCATAAGAAATAATTTTTCAAAGCACATTTTCATACTCGAAAGCTCATATTGGAGACAATAATTACAATGAAAATATTGGCAGGTGAAGGATGAGCAAGAATCGGCATTAAAGGTTACAATCAAAACAAAGCTGGTTATGAGGGCAGAGCTAACGAACATCAGAAGAATTTAAGAGAAGGTGAATAGAATAGAATAGTTGGTGCTAATAACAGTAATAAATGAATATGAAACAACTTGGGACAGTCTCATTAATCAACAGATAGATCCTAACAGACAAATGAGTATACTCATGGAATCATATGGAACCAGTATGTTTAAAATATACTATTGAGTATGTTACGGTACCATGAGTATACTCACTTGTCTACGAGGTAGAGTATATTTAAGATCGACTTTGTCTATCTTAGGTCCATTATTAGCAACAACTTTGAGGAAAAACTTCATATCCATATATATAAAATATTCATCAATTTCACTTGAACTTGGCTAGTCTATTCGATTTTATTGATCAATTCAAACAACCAGAAAAATTACGAAGCGTAAACGCCAAAAGATGCGTGCAAGATTCAAGTAAAATGTGACTGATGCTAAACTCTAACATCAAGCATTTGAAGCATCGCGTTTAGCATTCAAGGAAGTGAATTATTTTAATTGTTAAATTGAAAAAAGACTCAGAATTGAATGAAGAATAAAATGTTCTCATAAAAAAAAATTCCAAAATAATATATATGTATAATCTCTTATATGTATCTCTTATCCACCCAGTTGCGCCATATAATTTATGACTTACTGTTAAAATTGTTGAGACCAGGTGTGGTATTATGCACGTCACTTCTTTGTATTCATCATCTTAGTATTCTACATCATCTTGAAATAATCTTTGATGAGCTTAACTTTTGAGGAGGCACTCTTGTTAACATTTCTTCACTGGCATCTTGATCTTGATTGTTGATCCTTTTGCTTCAGTCATCATGTTTCTTTGCATCGTTGAAGATTAATTATTTTTTGAAAATTTTCCAAAAAAAAAATCACTGGTTGCTCAATTTTATTTTTCTCTCATTTTTCAATACAAACATTTGGGCTTGTTTTTTTGTGAATTTTCCACTCAATTAATTTTCATTTGTATGAGTTTTAATGTGATTGACCAGATCTCTGCAAACTTCTTACCAAAGTACGTACAGACCAAAGTACGAAGAGTTTCGTAATATTTAAGATGCCACAATGATTCAGAATTGAAAACAAAATGTTCAAAAATCCCTTGTGCATTCTTGTTATTTATTAAATTCGTTAAGAGTCTTTCATTTCATTTATCTTTTAGCCTCAATACTCCGGAATCGTTAATGAATGGATTTTGAAGGCAGTCTAAAATATTAATCTAATTCATCATTCTTATTAATTTGTTCATTAACAATTTTCGATTGGATAAAACCTATTGATTAACAAATTAAAACCCAAAACTGTAAGTTTTATTGAAGTTTAATCTATGAAAAAGACTTTCTGTTCATTTTAATTTTAAACGTAAAACTCTTCTATTTGTACTGCAATCTATCAAAAGAGGCGTAGAAGTTCGTTGGCTTTCTACGTAATTCGTATCTATAAGACCAACAACAGCAATTAACATTCCAAGAATCATATACATGTGATGCTGACATGATAAATAGCTGTGATAGATCTTCTTCTTTCTCAAAGCATAAAGTTTGCAGCGTGATAGTTTACATACAAATAGATTGACTTGAGGTGACGGTAAAGCATTTAAGCTGAGCTTATTTCCTACGCCTTATTTAGAGCTTATTTTGAATTTTTAAAATCCGTTAGAAGCTTTCAAAGGAAATTTTCATTAATATTCACAATACAAGGCTTTCGCAAAATAATAAACTCTAATTTAATTGCATACAAAGATTTTTAATGAAGATTAAAGATTAAAATCTTCGTTTTTAAAAGATTATAATCTGCGACAGCCTTATATATTCATAGCTAATTAATTTTAGCAGTAAATCATAATTCAGTTGCAATTATCTTTTTTTACGATAAAAGTGAGGACTGGAAAATTGAGTATTCCTTATATTAGCGAGGAAAGTAATTTTTTCTTGATTTTTTGATCATAATTAGTCTCATAAAATAGTGTATCAACAGAAAACTCAACAGTGTCAAAGCAGGACCAAAGATAGAGAATTTTTTAATACATTCTCGTACTTTTGAAGTTTAAATTGGTTTGACTAATTTGAAAAATTTAAGTTTGGTGTAGATTCTTTGTCAATCTAAGGAATGGAACAAAATTAGATCACATTTTGTACACTCTTCCTTACGTCTCAACAGTTCTTAATACATGTGTTGGTATGTTGCTTCACATGATCTAAATGTTAATATATTTGCCATTTGAACCTGATTTTCTGAATGAGTTTCAATTTATATGCAAATTGCTTTTTTTCATCCTTTTAAATGTTTAAGTAGGATATTCATAGTCTACATTTGAGAAATAGCTCGTTAGACGGTAAGTATAAATTGCTTATGTCAATCAATCAATAACCATCAACGTCTTTATATCATTCGATTTTGAGTATGTTTAAGTTACTCTGATAAAATTCCCATTTTAACTATGGACTCTCAATGGAAACATGTAAAGAAGCTAAAAAGTAAACATTTAGCAAATTCATTCAGTGCTTATTGAGTCGCTTAAAACAAAAAATTCTCACAAAATCAAACGTCATTTACTCAAGCAAAAATGCTCTGCAAAGAAAAATTGAGCAAAGATTTTTTTTTCACATTTCTTACGACTTGAGTATCAAGTTTTTTTTTCTTCTCAGTTTTTCATTCATTAGTTTAATCTCGAGAAGAACGGATGAACAGACTGAAAAGTTCGCGTTGCTGGCTGTGTGTGAGAATTAAGATATGAAAAAAATTAAAATAGAAGAAAAAAATATTTTTTGAAATTAAAAATAATCAAACAAATTGGATGAAAAGTCTTTATTTTTTTTAAAACGTGTTATCTAGTTAACTGAATGATGATTTACGTGCCGTGATATGTTCATGTGAATAATTATTTTTAAAGAAAAGTAAGCGGATTTTCCACAAGAAATCAATTTCCTGTGTGGGATTTGAATAATTTTAGATAGTGTGAAGTGAAAATATTCATAATGAATTTATCGTCACTCCTACACTCCATCCTAATTGCAGGTAACAAACTAATCCGTTCAGTGTCTTCTTCGTCATAAGTTTTTCAAATAAATTTATGATTATGAAAACTCATTGGGAAGCAAAAAACAGCGTTAAGTACTTGAAAAGATCTTGAAAGTTTTTCACGAGATCAAAATTATGCTGACTCAAGACCATGGACTTCAAGAATCTTAATTACTGAATTTCATTCCATTTCTTCTGTTTTAAAAATTGTTAGTCATCTCGAGATAAATTAATGAAATTGTGTAACAAATTCTTCGGAAGTTCTTTCTTTTTGAATGAAGATTTTTCGCCAAAGATGCTACATGGCTTTGATGATTAAGATTTATAAATAAGAGATTATTAATTTTTTGAACTAATGTGAATTTTATTTTAAAAGATTTTTTTTTATCGTAGACCGGAAAATCACTTTTTTAAGCAAGTATGACTTAGTCTTTGGAGCAGGCTGTATTTGGTTAACTGTATACGAGAGTTCGGAATGTCTAAGATCAATAATTTAAACTCAAAGGATTTTATCGGGGATATTTTAAATTCCATCTCTTGGTGTCATATTCTAACAACTTATTTAATTTTTTGATAATCAGACAGCTGTTACGACCCCATTAGAAAACTTCTGTGGCATGTTGCTTTAAAACTTCGACTAATCGCTGTGCTTTTTTTAAATAAAGCATAAAGTGTTTTCCTTAAAGACTTCTTGGACTGTTACAATCCTTAATATACCTCATGATAGTACAGACTGCCACAAAGAACTCAATCGCTAATCAACCTCTAATCCCTTTCAGTCACAATATTGGCTAAACTTTTCTGAATGAAATTTTAAAATAAATGTGATGTGATATTAAAAACAATAAAGTTTAATCCACTTTTGATGAAGAAACAAGACTTAATTGTCAATGATCTAAAATTAACCCAAAAGTTTTGCTGTTGTTCGTCTCAAAACAAACAAGTTGCTTGATATGACAATAAAAAATTAAGAATGTCAATGATTCTGATTTTATATTTGAATATTTGCACAAAAAATAAGGAATTCTAAAACTAGAACCGTAAAAGCTAAATGAGCAGCTCTATAATTATTAATAAAGTGAAATGGCATTAAAGCGCGATTCGCCACACATAATTGTAATTGATACGGTGTAATACACAACTTATGACGAGATATACATTGTGGCAAGCGATTGACATTGAGCATTTAAGCCTATCTTCTTTTTCTCACATTTACAACGTCACTTGTGAATCAGATGTGAGAAGGAAAGTGAAAACAGATGAAAATCTTCACATTGCAAAAATAGCATCAGTTAGTCATTGCGTGGGTGAAATCGTAACACGAGTTATCAATATTATGACTGAGGGTATAGTGTGGCCAACAGGTGTAGAATGCAATGAAAAATTTCATCCACACTAAATCTAACTTGTCCACCTACTTTCATGGATTCAAGAATTTTTCATTCACGAAAATTCGTCTCATTTAATAAAATTTATTAGCTAAGCGTGGAGCTTTAGCTTCATCGATAGATATATGGATGAACATTTATAAATTTAAGGCGAGAAGTAAATTTGCAGTTAAATGAATGCTAATTTAATATAGCTTTAAAATCGTATGCAATTAGAATAAGTTTCTGGAAGTAATCAGCAAGTGATACTTGTTTTGTCATTTATATCCAGTTTTGAACGTTTTTTAATAGAACAATCAAAATTGATGTAGAAAATCTTTAATGCTATTCAATAAGCTTCATGCACTATTCTTCAAAAACTTCAATGTGTGCCTTAAAAATGCATTAATTAGTTGCCTTGATTGCTTTGAGAATTTTTCGTGTGAGTGGACACTAAAAAAGGCAACACAAATACGACTGATAATTTTTATGTCACAAACTTGTATTGCTTCCAATTTTGTATGTCCACTAAAAACACAAACAAATTATTCGGAGATTAAACAAGTAAATTTGTTGTTGTCGTGACTGAATTGGATTTACTGGTGACGTTTAGCTTTTAGACTCTAGTCAAATTTGATGTGCAATAAATCCCTCAGTCCCTAAGTCATTTTATAAAAGTTGTGGACGTCATTCACAAACGACGCTTTATAATATGCAAATTGTAAGCATTCTTGATGAATTAAACTGGAAGTGACGATTAATTCTAAAAACATTTAAGATAATAATAAAGTACAAGTGTTATGCCTTTTAAAGGAATTATATGCTTAAATTGTAAAACAATTCTCATGCATATTATTACTATCTCATCATTAGTTAAAGTAATTGTAGATTTATCATGTAAACTCAATAAAATGATTCAAGATGTTTGAAATGCCAGAAACCATATATAGGAAAAGATTCGCTGATTAAAGTAATTAGTAATATTAAATTAATTAAGGCGTATGACGTATGCATTCAGTGCATTTGAATTAAATTTATAAAAGAAATGCTTGCAAACTCAAGCATTTGCTTGTTCTGCTTTGAATTCATACAAATTTTGTTACGAGGGGGGGGGGTCTAAAAAGTCATTTTTTCGCGTTACGTAATAAGTGAACAGCCCCTTAGCTTCTGTAAGATTACGATAAAAAAATTCTTTCCAACTGTGTACTTACTTTTCTTCTCTGGCCGTACAGATCAATTGTGATCCATGGTCTACCTTAGATGGCACCTGAAGCTTCTCTCCAAGAGTTCTAGGGACGTCCACCTGCTCTTTTTCCATTTGCAAAATCAGGCTTAACTGCGTAGTCTCGAATATTCTAGTAAAATTTTACTCAAAAGTCTTTCCAAAAGTCCATTCATAAATTCTGTAAGTAGGACATGAGGAATTCCAAAAATTTACTTTCGAAATAGCTTAATTCCATGTTGACTATCTTAACTGCTAAGCTGAATTTATGATTTCATATTTCTCGCATCATTTAGCTTATCAAATCACCTCAGAAATGCTTAAAGTATATTCTTCAACGCATTAAGCTGGTAATAAGCAGAAGAAGGCGCTCAAATGTGTTGATTAAAACAAGACTAAAATATGATAATTGTCAGCACATAATTTTGGTGATTTTGAACAGCGTGAGTTAATCCAAAAAGCAAAAAAAAAGTTTGTACAGACTCAATTTTGGCGCGAAAGAATGACTTTTTTCGTCAGTTGTATAGAAAAAAAGATGAGTTTTTGACAGTGTTGCAAATGTAGATGTCTACACTAGATGAAGAATGTAGATTCTTCAATAGTTTTTGTCTAGCTAAGAAACTTTCTTCATAAAGATCGATTCTACATGTAGAAAGAAAAAAACCATCTACATGTAGATTGTGTCTACATGTAGAATCTGTCTACATGTAGATTCGATGTAGATGTCTATAATTCTACATTTTTTCCAGGTCTACATCAGAGAAGAATGTAGAATCGTAGACATCTACATTAAATCTACATGTAGACAGATTCTACATGTAGACACAATCTACATGTAGATGGTTTTTTTCTTTCTACATGTAGAATAGATTTTATGAAGAAATTTCTGTCTCAGAATTTATCTGATCCAGACAAATAGCCAGAATGCAACACTGGTTTTTGATGCCAAAACGTTCGCACGACAGATTATTTTTAGTGTACAAATAACAGAAACAGAAACAGAATTTATTTTGGTTGTTTTCTACTATGTGATGAAAATTATGTCTCAAATATACAGAGAGAGGTGGGATAATTGGCAATATCATCGTCTCTATCTAATTCTTGTATAGCTGTATATTTTATTCACGTGAATTTCCATATCAGTAACATTACTTTTGTGGCATTTAATTTGAATGCTCATATTTAAACATATATGAATGCCTATAAAGTGCCTTAATTTATGCAAATTGCATAATAGAAAACCCCAAAAATAGAGCAAGCAAGAGTATTTGAATGTTCGTTCTAGCTCGCTACTATTGAGAGAGGAAGGAAAATATTAAATTTATTAGCTTGAGAAAAACTGTGACTGAATGTATTTATGGGCTAGGTAATTTGTTTCATCTTTACGTAACTTTCAAGCTTAGAGAGATTAGTTCTTAATATTGGAAGTATGTATCACCTTCTTGGTGATCCATGAATAGACTTCGAATTCAATATTTATTAAGTTTTAAGTTCAATATGAAGCTCATTTGCTTTTGGCGCAAATTCTTAAACATACTAGTACCAAGCCAGCCATATACACATTAGAATGCGCTTCTTACAATATACATCAAATTTCCCCCTTAATTTTCTACTCGAATCAAGCTCTACAGCTGATTTCAAGTTCAAAGTCTCGTTTCCTCCTTCACTATGATCTTGATTCTCATATTTTTTTCTCCCTAGTCTACATTATAGCATTGATGATATTTATTGAGTTTACAAAACTGATCGTAAATTGAATGTTAGACTTTAAATTGTCACAGAATTTTCATTGATCGTCAAATAAATGCTCGAGTTGAACTCATTTAAATGCTCTCCGAGAAATTATAAAAAAGAAACGTGAATATGTCACATGTGGACAAAATAGGAGCGCCACGGCATTAACAATTCTAAATAAAAATATTTTTCATCAAATAGAGAAGATTCAGAGAATTTTTATGTCGCGTAGTCAAGAGTGTGTTCATTCAGGCAGGCAACAATTTCTCTTGAAATGATTTTAAAGACTTTTCATGTAAATTATTAAGAAATTGACAGTTTTTATAGCACACAAAGTTTTGTAGTCTATTGGATTTTGTGATATATGTCTTTATGTGGATATCTTGGGTTCTGATTAAAAAACAGCAATAAAAAATTGTAATAAAATTTTTTTGAGGATTTTTGAATCAATTCAGTCTTTTATTGATCATTTGAAGCATAGAACACAAAGTAAATATAGTTTTATGCTCCTATAATCTTTATTGGTTTACGCTGTCAGTGGACATTTCCATTTCATTATTGATAAAAATTTAATATTCAATTAGTCGGTCAATAAAAGTTTCCAGCCAACATGAAATAATGTAAATAGTTGTAAAATTTTAATATTTTTGTAGCAATAAAATATGAGTCAGTGC